TCCAGAGCGCGGGGAGCCACTCACCTGCCGGATGAGCGAGGCGTACGTGAAGGGCGGCCGGACGTCCGCGTTTTTGTAAAACTCGTGATTCTGTGCAAGTTCTGGAGGAGGGAGAAGAAACGGGAAGTAGGGAGTGAAGGGACCAGCTTTGGGACCCGAGTTCCACATGGTGGAGGGTGCTGAGCCCCATCCCAGAGCTCACCTGAAGATATCGGGGTGCAGAACTTCTCCGAGTTTCTCCTGCGGATGGGCCCCACGTTGTGTAAAGTGGAAGAGCTGATGACGGAGGGGCCCTGCCGCAGGGGGGTGATGGGTGCCGTGGCGGAGGTGGGGGGATGAGGTAAGCCGTCGGGGAACGTGTCGGAAGTGCTCTTGGAGAGGGTGGCACTGGAGACCAGGTTCAGCTGCACGGACAGGCAGGAGGGAGGGCGGGCAGTTGGGCACTGGCATGGGGAAGGCGAGAGGGTGGGAGAGCCCCCGGCACACCGGGAGCTGGGTGGGGCCTGAACTGGCTGATGGCACAGAAAGGGGGGACTTTGCTGGGCTTGGCAGGGATGAGATGCAACCCGTGGACGGGGTACATCCACGGGATGGGGATGCTCCCACAGGATGGGGATGCTCCCATTACTTGTCTAAGCTGACACAGGCTGTTTCACTCCTGCCTGATGCCTCGTACCGGGCACAAGGGACCAGGCTACACGTCCTGGAGCAGAGTCAGGGCATGTCCATCCTGGGAAGCCCATCCTCCCGGGCTGCAGTGACCACGTGCAGGGCAGGGCAGCCAGCGGAGAGGGTAAGGAGGAGGAGAGGGGGCAGCTGCGGGGATGTACAAGTGCAGGAGGGGCACGCACGCTTACAGGTTGGCTGAAAGGCTTTGGCTCTGAAGGTCTCATGTGAAGATGGGCCATCATTGCTTGGAGACGCTCGCTCTCCTTTGCCAGCTGCAGAGGCAAGTAGCAGAAGGGAGACGGTCAGGCAGCGCTGGCAGACACCGTGGAGGCGCCCAGGGCCCAGAGGAGCTGCCCACCCAGCCCCCAGCCCTGCCTGCGGGCAGGCAGCCTCCTCCAGCATCCCCGCAGGAGCCACCCCTTGCCTGATCCCCCAGCGGGACCGTGGCTCTGTGGGGGGCTGCAGCACCCATCACAGGGGGCACAGGGGCTGCTGCTGCTCCAGCTCTGTGTGTGCAGTCGAATGAAAATCCCGCGATGAAACAGTCATTTCACACATCCTGCCCACCCACCGCAGCCCTCGCTCTCCTTCCCGGGTGCTCTAGTCCCCACGCCCCAGTCCCCTGTCCCCTGCGCCTTCCTCCAGCCTCTGCTGCCTCTCACTCCCTGTCCATCTACCCATCCCTCCGTCCGTCCATCCATCCATCCGGACGCGCAACATCGCTTTAATTGCACGCTCCCGCCTGTTTACTCCCCGGAGTGCGGAGAAGGGTGAAATATTCACTGTGGCACCAGGAGTGATTTTGAGCCCGGCGGAGGCGATGGGATCTGACACCCGCTCTCTTCCCGTCACCTTCCCTTTCCACCGCGACCCCTCAAGCTTGGGGCTCCCCTGTGTTCGGCTCCTCCCCCCCAGCCAAGCCCTCTTCCTGGGAAGGTGCTGGAGCTGGGAGCCGGGTGAGGAAGGAGTTAAAGGCAGAAGCAGGAGCGGAGTTTGCTGCAAGTTTGGAGCAGCTCGGATGCTTGCGTGCTGTCGTGGTGCTCATTAGAGCTGACAGGTTTCCCCTCGTGATGCAGACGCTCTCCGCCGGCACAGCGGGAGCTCCACGCTGAAAACTTTATAATTGGTAGCTCCGGTGGCAGGTTCTCCTCTGCACACACAGCTTTCTGCTCACCCTTCAGCCTTTTTTATTTTTCCCCCCTCCCTTTTTTCCCTTCCTTTCCCTCCCCTCTTTAAGCCCCAGTAATTGCTTTTAACCTCCCGCTTTAGCGAGGGCTGGGGAGCGGGATGCGATTGCAGGGCTCTGCCTCCCCACCCGGGAAGGTTTTGCTGCATCCCCCACCCCACAGCCCCTGTCACCGTGACTCCGGACAGAGGCTGCTGCACACTACGGCCCGCTGTCCCCAGGGCTGGCATCCCCTGTGATGAGACCCACCCCATGATGACACCCGCGGCCATGCCCTGTGATGGGCACAAACCGCTTTGAGCTCCTGCCAGCCCCCGACCCAACAGCTACCCAGACACCAGGCTTGGTGAGCGACCCCCTGACGCAGCCCCCTGCCCCGTCCCACCCTCCTCCACCTTCCGTTTCCTCCCATTTCCCCCCCTCCCTACTCTATTAACCGAATTACACACGGCACGTCAGGGAGTCGGAGTTGCTGGGAAAGGCACTATTTAAAGAACCGATTTTCCAAAACCAGCACACCGAAATTGGGCTCCAAAGACCACACTCCGTCACCAAAATAAGTGGCCTGGTTTCCAAAGAGCTCAGCAGCCCCGTGGCTCTTGCTGCAGTGGCACGAGGGTGACACGTGGCTTCCAGGTCTGTGGCATCTCCTTGTACCCACGGGGATGCTTTGAGCAGGAGGGGTGGCTTGTTCCTTCCTCCAGCCCCATCACTATTGTGCAGGGGTGCTGGTATCAGAGGGAGAACCAGCCTAAGGGTCCCTCAGCTCTTCAGCCCCCATGGCATTGGGCAGCTGGTTATCTCACTAGTGGCCCCCAACCGTGCTACCCCACTCCTGCAGACAGCAGCCAAGACACAGCACACACAGAGTTTGGGAAGGAGATGCCTTTTCCAACCCGCATCCTTTGCGGCTGGGGCAGTACCCACCTGTATTTCCAGCTGCTGTACCACTTGCATCTGGACTCGACACTGGGCCGTGCTTCGGTCGTCAAGTGCATGTTCTGTGTTGAGGTGTCTGGGGAGAAGAACACGGGAGTTTATGCCTGGACGTGCTCAAAATGCAGCCCCTGGGATCAGCCCTGACCTGTAACCCGCCTGTACCGCAGCAACGCCCGGGATGCTCCGCCGCTGCTGCCCGAAGCGTGACGAGCAGAAGGGAAACTGAGGCATGAAGGTGGCCAAGCAAACTGGGCTGCGCCTCCTCCCCAAACTGGGCTGGAGGGTGGCTGTAGACCACCAGCCCTGACCGGGGCAGCCACTGGTTGATGGAAAGTCCTTGAGAAGGGCTGCTGGCAGGCGCAGGCAGGAGGACCGGAGGAGCAGGTTTCCAGGACAAAGGCAGCATTATGGAGGTTTACTTACACCCTCCGAGGAAACCCCCGAAGGCAGAAGGTGACTTTTCCAGAGTGCTCCTCATCCGACTGCTTTCCTGCCTGGTGTTTGTAAGGCACTTCATGTTTATAAAGCACAAGGACCTTCAGTCCTCGCCGCCCGCCCTCCTTCTCGGGAAGGTGGAAGGCTCCGGGCAGAGGGGAGTGACGAGGACGACACTTGCTGCAGAGCCAGGGACATCCAGCAGTGCCTTGTGGGGATCCGCACCCCCTAAACCCAGCAAAGCAGCAGCCTGGGGATGCACCCAGCCCCGAAGATGGGTGATGTCCTTGCTGGGGTGGATGCAAACCCAGGGGGGTCCTCACCAGAGGAGCGGGACAGGTTGGAAGAGGGATGCGGTGCGGCTGGGCAAACTGCGCCAGGGCCAGCCCAAAACTCCCCGAAAGGTGGCATCCAGCACTGGGAAACACGCAGGCGTCCCAGGGCCATGGGCCAATGTTCTCCAGGATCAAAACGGAGCTATTTCCGCTGAGACATCCCAGGAGAAGGTGCCCTCAGGAGTATCTACCCTCAGCCCGGATATGGAAAACGGATCTCACCCGGCTGTTTGCAAGAGACTTCCAGCCCCAACTTGTGAAAACAGGTTGGGTAAGTGGGAACAGCTGCCAAGCTGTGTGCGAGCAAACCCCGCCGGTGTCCCAGCCCTGCTGCGCTGGACCAGGCTGCCTGCTCCTCTCCCTGCACGGCAGACCGTGGGCACGTCCTTTTCTCCAGGGCAAAAGAGAGAGCCCAGGCTGTGCTGAGTGGGAATGGAGCTGTCGCCCACCGACCTCACAGGTTTTATAAACCAATGCTCAAAGGATGTGCTGTTCCACCCCAACGCTGAGGCTTTCCAGCTGCTCCATGGAGATGATGGTCAAGAGGTGCCCGGACTCAAAGCAAGGTCCATGCTGGAGCTGGGCTCAGCCTTTGGGAGCTGAAGTTTGCCATCTGTCCGTCTGTCCCACACCCTGACACATGCTCAGGTTGACAGGGAGAGGGCAGAAACACTTCACTAGTGCTGTCGGGAACCCTACAGCCCCAGTCGGCACAGCACAGCTCACCGGGCACTGCAACCCAGCCCTGGCCATCCCCCGCCAACCCCAGCTCCAGCTTTGAAACTGACTCTTGCTCATCTTCCCGTGCCATGTAAACATGCCCAGAGAGGCAGGAGGAGATGCCTTATCTGGGTTCACCCCGTGAGTCAGAGGCAGAGGAAAGAGGATGTAGGAGCCTGACTCATTCACTCCCTCAGTCACTACCAGGCAACGCTCCCCGCTCTCCCCAGGTTGCCTTCATACCTCTCTTCCTCCTCTGCAAGGCCTTTGCCCAGCTCCTTCCCTGGGAACAAGGGATGCTCCCGCTGGAGCCAGTCCCAAGCACATGGTAACGGATGGGATCGGTCCGTAAAAACCCAAAATCTCGCCGATGGAGAGCTAAGTGCGCGTCGGTGCATCTCGGCCGCCGAGCAGACAGCCGGAGAGGCGGGGGGGGAAGAGGCAAGCAAGCCCGTCAGTTCCTTCTGATGTCTTTGCTAAAAATCCCGGCTACAAAGAGATCTAATTGCAAATGAACTAATTAAGTAAACCTCTGACGAAGCGTGAAAACAATTTGTTTGACCCTGACGCTAGCAGAGGGCTCTTCGACAGCAGAGTTAATCAGTCAGCGCCGGAGCCCACAAGCAGTGTCAGCAGGCTGCCGTGCCGCCATCTGCTTCCTCCCCTCCTCTCGCCCCCCAGGAGGGGAGCTGCAAACTCCCCCTGCCTGCTGCCCGCTCCTGCCCGCTGCACTGGGGGTCTGCTCCTCTAGTAGCAACCTCCTGTGTTTTCTCCTTTTGCACGGTCCCCCCCCCCAGCACTGGGTTGACAGACTTTGGGGTGTCCAGACCCATTTCCGGGGTGTCCCCCTCCGACAGCACTGTGCTGTCCCGGTCCAAGAGTGCGAGCTCTCCCCTCCTCTAGGAAAACCCCCCCTAAAAAGGGGAGCACTTACTTGACAAACTGTCCCAAGTCCTCACAGAGGGTTTCGCAGCCGGGCCACTTGCACTCTCCGTGACCGTAGAGCGGGTGGGAGCTGGGGGTCTCTTCGTGGGAAGAGCTGTAAAAGATGGAAAGGGACTGTCAGATGGGGCAACCGGGATGCTCCAGCATTCCCACGCATGGGGTCAGCCCTCGGGGACCCACAGAAGATGCCGCAGTGATGACTTCCTGCCCTCCACGGGCACAGCAAAACAGTGACAGGACTTGTTTATAGGGTAGGCAGAACCCCCCAAGCCCTCCCAGCCCCATGGGTGACAGAACCCAGCCCCTTCCACCTCTCCAAGGGTAAAAACATGAAGTGCCAGGCCCCGACCCGGCTCTACCTGTCCCTTCTCGGCGTGTGCATGGTGCTCTGTCCATTGGGCAGAGGGTGATGGGAAATGGGAGGCGAGACCTTGGCGGCCGAAAACGAGGTAGAGTTGGAGGTGTTGGTGGTGAGGTCGAGACCTTCTTGCTTAATGCTGTCCTCGACGGGCTGGGC